TGTTTTTCATTATCTTTTATTGTCATCTCTTAAATCCCCCTGCCAGTTGAAACAGTCCATGTTGCACCTGGTCCTTTCTGCTCTTACCCTAACATGTTTCCACTTTTTCATTTGTATTGGTCTCATACAGTGGTTATCTTACCATAAAAGGAGGATCACTCCTACAGACAGCAGCCAGCTTTCTTAGTATTATCTTCCCAGACAATTACATATCAGCTTCTCAATCCTGCCTAAGTCTATTTTTCAAAGGCCATTATTCTCATCCCATTACTGCTCTTATTTCTTTCATGTAAGACACTGAGCCTTGTAATTTACAAATACCTTCACCTAATAGCCACCCTCTCTCAGTCCCCCCTAAAATCACACAGTTGTGGAAAAAGATGATAAAATTTCGTTTATTGGTAAATTCTTTAACTTTACCTGCATTTAGTATTATCTCTTGTACTGTAATATCAAGTTCACTGCCTGACTGATATAAGAATGAAGAGCAATTTATTACCTTTGAAATGTTTATGATCAGTAAAAATATGGACATTTGAGGAAGACAACCAAGAGGAATTTGAAGAAATATCAAAATAAAGCACGTATTTCAAAGTGATTAAAGGGATTTGCATGTACTGCACTCTGTCAAAATGAAATTTAAAAGCTAAACAACAAAACTTGATATTTAGCAATCTTTTCTGTTTCAGAATGAAAAATAAAATTAAAAACAGCTTCTTGAACTGATGGTGCAGCACTACTCTGCTGACTGGTCCAAGAGTCTCAAGATCCAGCAAATATGCAGCTAAGACTGAAACTTGTGACCCTCTTACCTGTAAATGTAGTACTAAATTGAGTATTTAGTGTTTGATGACTGTCAGTAGCAATCCTTCACTGTGATAACATATTTATACAGATTACAATTTCCACATATCGACCTCCCAAGTCTCTCTGTACGTCTCATTATGCAACTGCAAATAATATGAAAACAGATTATCTTTGGCAGAAGTTACAAGTGGGCTATATGGCACATTTTGTTGAAGTAATATTAATTTGCTCTCCTGTTCCATTAAAACTATAGATGTGGTTGAGGATATAAGCAGAACTAATGCTGAGTTTTCAGCAGAGATTAAAGAGCATAGCCTCTATTTCAGTACTTCTTGTTAATAATGAAAATAGTGGAATTTTTTCTTTTCTGTTTATATGCAGCTTTGGCAGAAACAATCGGGAATCTTGCCTTTCCTGGACAGGTGGGACCAGAGTTATCTTATTTTCTTCTTGCTGTTCCAATTAATCTCTTCTGCAGAATTTGATTTTGCACTAATTTCTTGTTCTCTGTATTTTCTCACTTCAGTGACTTCCCTACTACACAATTCATTTCAGAAAGGCATTCAGGCTGTAAGTTGCAAGGGAAAATACCTACAATGCCATTCAACTGCATGCAAAAAGAACAGGTGAAAAAAGGGTATATGTAAAAGCAAACTGCAATGACAGAAGTTTGTATTTCACATGACTACTCTTTGGGGTACTAGTAGAAATTTACAGTTTAGCAGTTTTATATTACATCCAATCTACTCCAGATTATAGCGCCTCTCTGATCTTTTATTCTTCATTAAGAAAATACTCAAGGGAATAACAGTCAACAAATCTGACTGGAAAAAAATATTAGCCAGTTCAAATGGAACTTAGAAAAACCCTATTTCATTGAATTGATGGAAGAAAGAATAGCTTACATTTTCATAGCTTTTAACCATATCTTAGTACTTTAAGAAGACCTACCTCACTTCAATTCACTTTTGGATATAGCACTAGCAAGTCACCTGTGAAACCCTCTGCTAAAAACTTACTTTTAGGAAGAAGAGTCAACCGTGTACATCAGAAATATGCTAAGCAGCCTCCTGCCACGTGACTAGCACTATTTCACCTTGTAACTTGCATCACTTCCCTTGTTCTCCTTCAAAAGAGAAAATCAACAACTACGGTACCTGTTCCATATATGATGGGCTAATCAACCAATAAAAAGGCACTTTTCACTGAAGCAAACCTTAATGCCTGTCATTAATCATAATTTCTATTTCTACATTATATTATCATATTCCACTTCCATTTCTAATCTTTTTTTACATTACTACAGTTCCAATTGTAACAAGGTATTTCTGTAGTTTTAGTGTAATACATCCTCTGACAGGCATTTATAGAAAAAAATTATTGAAACAAAATACTATGCAATACCATAAAGTATTGGCAAAGAGCGAATACGGAATATTTAAAAACCCCTACACTCCAACTTTACTTTTCCAAGCAAAAACTTGATATGAATTATGTCTGGGAAGAAAAGTTACAATAAACCTCACCACCCAAAATACAAGCCACAATTTTCTATTTTTACATCCCTTAAAACTCTTAGATATACTGCATCCTACTGGTCCTCTGCTCGAGAAATCAGAGCTACTCTGAACAAGCTACCATTTTAACATTCTGTACCTTGTATTTCTTGAACACTGTCACACAACTATTGCTCAATCATATGGTGCTCTTGAGAATCAAGAGATCCTGGCCTTAGAGGCAACTACCAAATCCTGTGAGACCAGTCAATGAATTATCATACCAAATTGAATTAGCCCCAGTTTGGAAACAGCTCCTTTGTTTTCTGAGTAACATTGTATACTTATCTTTCAGGGCTACAACATTGCAAATAATTAAGTTTCTAATAAATTTCTAGCAGCCACATACAGCTGTATGCTTGCACAGACATTAGTTTAGAGGCAGAGGTTTGTAGAGAGTTTCAAAAGGGAGACCAGAGCATTACCACTTCCTCTCACTCTCAGTTCTGAAAATTCATCTTGCTCTCGATGAAAAAAGTGCAATGCATGCACATATATTCAGATCCCTTAAGTAGCACAGCCTTTGCAGAAGAGATAGTTTTATTTGCAGTTTATTTTCATAGGCATGCAAAAGAGTAACATGCCAAAACAGAGGTATACTTTTCTTAGTGGCTCAAAGGCTGATCATTATGGAGAAAATGTAACTAGATAAGCTGGAATTTTTAAAGAGCAAAACAAAAATTAGAGTCATACAACACAAAAGTCCCTATCAAGCAATGAAACTGAAGGGTTTCATGGGGTAAAGTTAGGATCAGGTACTGAATGGTGAGCTTCAGTAGTTCCGGACTGTTCTCTAAGTGAACAGTTATTCTGCCCCTCAGAGCAACAGCTCTTCTCTAACAGCACTGTATGTATAGAAACTCTCACCTTTCACAGCCATTTGGTAAACACTGATAAGTTTTAACTCCAATCTATAAAAGCACATTATTAGGGGTTCTGTAACTACTTTCCTTATTAAAGAACATTTAAAACACTCAGAAAAGCATAATAAAGAGAGAACTGATGCATCATTTCCTTCTGAATTAGAGCTTCCCTCAACTTGAAGGCAGTAGTCCTAATTCAAGGGGTGAAGAGGGGCTATGTTGCCACAGGATGATCAGAGTATCTTTTCATATGTCACACAGGTGCAGGAACTCTGGCATGACTTGCACAGTTGTAATGAACCTCCCTGAGTCTTTAGGGCATCTAGCAACATTTACCCTACCCTTGCATTTTTAGAGGCTAGTGTCATGCAGTAGTAGTATGCTTCAAAGGCACAAGAGGAGATAGAGCCTGACTAAGGAGGACCATGTGCTTTCCTTACCATCTCACATAACATCTTAGAAGACTAGCTGTGATTTAAATTCACAAAGCATCAAAACAGACCACACAGCTGTAAAACACTCAGAATACTTTCTTTCATGCTGGAAGAGGCTTGTGGGAGAACAAGATGTTTGAAGACTTTATCACTGCAGTGGAACAGATAATTAGGCAATTAAAACTATGAAAAGTAGAAAAATTACTAGTTCCACATGAATTTCACTGTGGAACAGAATTGGAAGAAGCAAAAAATCAGAAATTAGAACCTTTCACAAGCATCTTTAGAGCACAACTAAAAGAGTGAAAGTTCTGGAACAAAGGTAAAAGGGTAGTTAATTTGCAGAAACTTATCTGGTTTTGCAAAGGAATATTTTAAAGGAATTGATTCCTAAAATAATCTTGCTTTTCTGGTGTTAATAATTAGAATGCATTAATAGAAATCCAAGAGGTCTCATTCCAGCTTCATTTTTGGTAACCCAACAAGGCCCTTCCCTCCTAGGTTTTTAATGGTATTAGCAGTATCTTCACATATACAGGCTTCTTGTTTAATCATTCTGCTCTATAGGAAACCCTCTACAAACTCAGTCTTCCCATCCCTACTTGCTTCCAGGCCATGGAGAATGTACCACCATTTCACACACCAGAGTAAAGTGAAAGAACAAACACCTTAACTTCCCACAAAATCTTCACAAAGGCAACTTTGGAGAAGGTGCTCTGCTCACCTACTGTCTATCACATGTGGTAACATTTCCAGAAGCCAATCTTCTCTGGAGGTACTGAACACCCATCCCAGCCAAGGAGAATAAGGGAGTTATCCTGCTCATGCCAGCTGTAACGGAGCATGCTTCTCCAGGCATGCTTTCTTCAGTGTATACATCTCACTATGCAAAGCTCTTGGTGGAGGAGACCTTCTTTTGCAGAGACGCAAAAATCTCTGCTCTGGTACTAAGACTTTCCAATAGGAACAGACTAAAAAAGAAGCTGGCAAAATCTGCTAGTCTACCTTGCTAGTCCCTAATCTGCTAGCTTTGCTAGTACCAACTATGAAATTCTTGGCTTACAGCCTCATAGACTTGTTGCAGATGTAAATAAGGACATACCAACCAGACCAGAGGCTGCACAGTGGTATCAGATGTGATACACTTCCCTTACTGCCAACTGCAGGGAGAGGCCACAGTCTGTAGTGGTTTAGGTTTGCCAGTTTGAGATTTCTTGGCCAAAGCACCAATTAATGTTGTGGATTTAGCACTGGCCAAACGTTAATGCACCTACTAGAATATACTTACTCACTTCCTGCTGTGAGATAGGATTAGGAGGAAGGCAAAGCAGGCTCAAAACTTTAAAAGGATATAAAGAAAGCTTTAATAACAGTAACTAAAAGAATAACAAGAATCAGAATAAAACCTTTAAAACACTTCTCCCCCTACAACTTTTTATTTCTCACTCACAGTGTACAGAAACAATCAGTTTATCACTTCTAGAATAGCCTTTCTGCAGTTCTCTTAGGGAGAGGAGTTCATCTAGTAAATTTATGGAGACTTCTCCAAAAGAAGAAGAGAAGCTCTCATGGCTTTCAGTTTCCATGAATAGCAGCCACCCGTAACATCTGCAATCATAAAGTCCCTCCCATTTTTACAGCTTTTCCCACGGCTGTGTTTATGGCCCATGTCAACTTATGGGGTACTATTTTAAAGATGTGCTGTTCAAGAGCAAAGGTTCTCTTTATCTATCTTTGAAAGCATCTTCATCTCTGGGAACAGTGGTCTTCTTCTCTTCTCCCAGGGGGCACAGGGTCTTCATCACTCTTCTCTCTTTCTCTGTTCAAACTTCTTATGGGATCACAGCTACTTCAACATTTGCTTACTTTAGCATGGAGGCCTTTGCGAGATATATACAATTTGAACATTCTCATCTCCCCATACCTTCATGTATTAGAGGGGAAAAGAGTCTGATGTATCAATTACAGTCTTCTCCAAAGCTTTACAAGAGAATTTCAGCCCCAAGATTAAGGCACCTCCTCATCCCTCCCATCTGGGACTTGACGTCTTCACTGACCTCGGTGTTTTCATGTAGTTCCTTCACATGCCTGCACTTGTCCTTTTCTCTCACTCGAGGGAAGACTGAAGCAGTGAAAGAGTTAATATTTCGCCCGGGGCCTGCAGATGGTCACCTGACCCTGGCCAGGCTCAGTAGCTTGCAGCTGGGCTGGGGGGGAAAGAAGTGGGTAGGATCTTAACAGAGAGGCCAGAACTCAGCAGCAGCAGGCCGCAGTTGGGGGGGCAATGGCTTCTCCTTCCCCTCCGTCCTGTGGTTGCGAGTGAATCTCAGTGGTGGTAGAATCCTGGCTGAGCCAGACTGGCCCAGCGCTGCTCCGGTGTAGCCGGGGCCCAGCGGACCCTGGCCTGGGCTAGCAGCGGGTCAGGGCTTAACAGCGGCAGGATGTTAGCAGCTGCAGCCACAGCCGGCCTAGCCCCACGGCCTTCCGTCCCCGTGCCCAGCAGCCAATGGGGCCGAGCCCGCGGCAGAACCCACCCAGCTCGGCCGAGAGAGGGGGGCTGGGCTGGTCTTGTTACCTGTTCTCAGGCCAGAAAAGAAAGAGAGAATTCTCAGGATTTTTTTATTTTTAACATGGGTGTTCACAGAGGCATATCGGCTTTCTCAGTAGTTCAACAGATTGTCAATTCTCAAAGCTAATTACTGATTGGTTTTTTTGTCAGACACAGAGGAAACTGCTAGCAGCTTCTCTTAGAACATCACTTCCGTGATGCAAAACCAGCACACCTCCTCACACCTTGCTGCAAAAGGAACGACTTCATAGCTGCAATCAATTTCATTTTAATATTGTAAATAACCATTGCTATTGTTAAAACAAGTAGAAGCCATAGAGCACAGCTAAGGATTACATGCCAATTGAACTGTAGAGTATCTCCAACTGCAATAACCCTACAAAATGGTTCAAGCATAAGAAGAGAGTGGACCTTGTGCCTAGTAAAGGATTTTCCTTGTAAAAAGTATTTAAAGTAAATTCTCACATTAAACAATATGAAAGAAATGAGGCAGGAGTGGGGTGAAAAACACAGCTGATAATACTTGAATATGCAAAAGCATGTATATGGTGTAAGTTTAAAAAACCAATAATAGTGATTTACAAGAGTTTCTATTTCTAGGCTTTACATGCAGAACTTTTACTAAAAGAAATATTAAGCAATAAGCTCCAGGATGAACATATAAACAAACATAAACACTTTTTTAAAAATTCAACAATTCTGAGCATTATTTTTTCTAATAACTTTCTAGTTATGATTCTTTTAGGTAACTTTATGGAAACATTTATTCTAATTATAGCAGGTCTTTGATGTCTGTGCAAAAAACTAATTAATGTAGTTTATTCCTTCCTGAATCAGGTTCTCTCAGTTTAAAACACAAGCTGAATGGGAAAAAAAGAGGAAGTTTTTCAAAGTTTAAAATTCTTTGAAACCTAGGAAGACACTCTTATCTCATCCAAACAGCTTGAAGTGAGACATTGGCATGGGAAAGAGATGGGTAAAAGCGTACAACACCGTTGCATTGGCTGAATGACCACAATAGTGCAATGCTGGCGCATTTCAGAAGGCAGCAGGGGGCAGAAGAAACAGGTCTTGGACATTGGTTTTATACTTTAATTTCTAGCTCTTCATTCAGTGCTATTCTGTCGTCAGACTCAAATTTTCATCTCTCCCATTGCCAGAGCAAAGGCAACTGTGGCAGTCTCATTTTATTATTGTATTTATTGTGTCAAGAAACACAAAGGCTGCTTGAAAGCACCGCTTTAGATGAAGCACTCTAGATATACGTGTGGAGAAACATGACCAGAACACAAGTGTCCTCTTGCCTCAGTGGAGCTCAAGCAGATGGCACAAAGCTTACCATTGATCACTTGTGGCTATAATACATGCATCCTATATACCACTGCCTCATGAAAAAAAGCACAAATAAAGCACACCAAATTCACCATACTGATATGCCTTAGAAAACAAGATTTTGCAGACATCTCCACTACCTTTTCTTCTGAGCATGACAAGTAATTGGTTTTTCTCACTTTTTTTTTAACAGTGAGAGAAGCATCTTGGCATTAATCATGAATTGTAACCAAAATCTGTCAGCTCTTTTGTATGACAGACTTTTACAATTCTTTATTCTTTCCTCTGCTGGTGTTTGGCAGGATATGGACAATACAGAGGAAAGTGGAAGAAAAAAATTACATACACACTGATGTAATTTTAAACCAGCTTGATTTTAAAAACAACCAACCTGTCCAGTATTCTTAATGTGACAGACATTTTTCTGGTGCAGATTTCTTTTGCAAGCCAGTAATGTTAATATGAGAAAGCTGTCTAAGAGCTACATTTCTTTTCTACAGAGAATGATTGAATAAATTTTCCCAGTTTCTGCAAAAGTAAACTGCTCTTAACAGTTCATGGCACTTTTACATTTACTTTTTTGAAAGTTACCTAAGCCTGCTTTAGTTTACCCTAAGAAATTACTTAAACATTAAAATTCATAGTAGAGCATCTGCATGCTCCAAACAGCCAACACAGCCACACATCTCCAAGAATTCTAAACTTATATGAAAAAAAAGTGTTTCTATTTTTGTTCTTTAAATATAACTATATTAAAAAGAGCTTGATTGTGTATTTTAAAAAACTGCATCATAACCGAGACTCTTCAGCCTTATACAAATATCTCTGCTAATAATTTAGTTCAAACCATATTATCAATTCCCAAAACTACCCCTGCCTCCAACCAAACACACAAAACTTGGAGAAGTCTGACCTTCACCTAAGAACTGACCACATTTCAACAGGCGAGCAGCATTCAAGTATAGTATTATTTACAGCTGTCAGGAGTTTCCACAGAGATCACCGATACTCACATAGCTGCCAGAGGTGTACTGAAGTGTGATGAGAGGAATGGGCAACAAAAGGAACATAACTTACCTGAGGGCACCAACAGAGGAACTACTAAACTACAAAGAAGAAAGAGTTTATTTTGTTTGTTGTTTCATTTTAGTAAAGAGGACAGCATAAATAAGTTTGGTACTGTTTCGCTTTCACATGAGAAAGCACAAGGGGTGTAAGTGACAAGCAAAACTTAAAGAAGCAAAAGGTATTTCAAATGTATAGAGTAAGCAATGACCTAGATTTTGAAGCAAGGTATACACATCCTTCAAATTAGCAGAGACAGTAAAGCATAAAATGACACAGAAATACAAGTTACTGACAGGAAGTCTTTCAGTTTTTTAGGCTGCACGTCAATTGTTTTCACAAACACCTCTCTGAACACATTGAAATAACTCACTATAGTTGCTGGCCAGGACAGATCGATAAACACAGGTTACAAACTACACATGGTAGAAACAATTACATAAGGCTTTCAGCATAACCCCAATCTTCATTGCACACAGCAACTTCTTTCAGAACAGCCAATTCCCAGAATTAAACCAGAACACCTCTGAAGAGGCAAACAATAAACCTTATTGGAAACCTCCCACAAGCCTACAAAACTCACCCTACAAATATAACAGAACAGAGGAACAGTATAAACTAAAATGTTTCCCTTACCTTTGCTGAGAGTGCCTGTGATGAGTTTAAAAACAGTCTGGGCAAATTTGACAATCCCATGCTTGCATCTCTTTGAACAGCCACTCATGGTTCACACAGATAGAAAGACTCTTCTCTGTTACAAATTTCAGGAATAACAATAAAATTAAAAAGTGAGTCCTTTACAAAGTTGATACGACTGGTTGTGCAGTGCTCTGAGCAGAACTCTGCTCTCATGCACTGAGCTCCAGGTTCTGCACTGAGGTTTGCTCACTCTGAAGCTACTACGGAGGACTGCAGTGGAGCAATGCACATCTCTTTTCAGTTAAAGGTACAGCTCTCCCCATCATCGTCTCGGCCGGGACTGCAAGCACCTGCTGCGATGCCCTGATAGAAGCTGCTAAGCACAGCAACACCTCAGCCAGACGGGAGAGGAGGGAGGGTTTGCCTCTGCAGGCTGCCACACTGGGTACAGGGAATGCAGCAAGAGACAGCTGGAGTCACCAGCTGCTGTAAATAAAAGCTGCTGATTAAAGCTTTTCTTGGTGCCCTTTTCTTGCGGATTTCAATAAAATTGTCAATTTTGATCTTGTCAGGTCGAGAAAACCAGAAAATAACGCTTTTTTATTTTACCAACACCATAGTGACACTGTCGCATGTAGAAGGCTGCATAGCGTTCCTTTGCAAAACCTGGTAGAAGTAGGAAAGCATAGCTGCACCCAGGGGTAGAAAAAAAAAAATCTTTATTTTAATTATACCAGCTTAGATGCTTCTCCGATTGTGATTTGTCCAGCATAGAGGGATGTGCCACCCAGCCTTTTGGGGTTGGCGGGGTTCGGGCTTACGCTTCTGTGCAACCCCACATTTAACTTTTCACGTTGTGCTGGTGCGGTGCCCACTTCCTGTATAATAGAAGTTATTCCCCTAGCAACAGCCACAACTCTGGCTTCTCCACTTCAATCAGTTACTGCTGCGTGTCTTGAATACTCTGAATAAAAAGACTTGCAGCAAAGCAGAGGCATCTCAAACCCCATCTGAATACTGGGCAGAGTTGAGCATCTTTAGGATTAATTCATGCTGGCCTCGTCTCAGATGCTTTTTAGCAACCCCCAAAATGCACTATTTGCTTGCCCCAGCCACAAGGCTTACCTCAGGTTTCTGCTCACACCCAGCCCGTTAAATTGCTTTATCAGCCTTGTGAGAAATAGCTACAAACTTTTCATAAATTTAGAAAGGTTTATTAAACCTTATCAAAAATACAACAGAAGACTGAACAGAGCACCCTGTGCTTACCCACACAATGGAAGTTTTGCCTTTTAACCTTTTAGCCCCTCCCAAAATTCTGTCCATCAACTCCTTCGCTGTCCAGTGGTGGAGTTTACTTCCTCAAATCCTGACGGGAGGTCAGATGTCACCATAGTGACAAGCCAGCCCTCCCAGATGTCCCAACCCTGGCTGTCCCTTGATAACAATATATAAAACTTTTCTTAACCTATATACATGATGTTTGTCTGTTAATTGTGAGAGTCAATCATCGCATTACTCATCTATCACAGCCTTCTCTCTGGCAAAGCCACCTGGAGCCAGCCATCATTTCAGAGCAGCAACTACTGAGCACTGCCTTTACTTGAGGGACAGGCACAGCTTTACAATTCTGGGAACAGCAATATACCTTTCACTCAGAGAGCAATAAACCACTTTACAGGAAAACTTACATTCCTGAACCAAAACTCAGGGCTTTGCCAAATAGCTCACCTTGCTGTGAGACTCATGACTATCCGTCTCTCCCAACTGGAAGTGCCTTCCTGCTCCTCATCCCCGCCTCACATGTGCACCCCCGCACTGCTTTCTGCCCCTTCCCTTCCCTTCCCTTCCCTTCCCTTCCCTTCCCTTCCCTTCCCTTCCCTTCCCTTCCCTTCCCTTCCCACACTGCTGCTCACCTCTTCCTTCTCAGGCAGAGAGCTGTGGAGCACTGTCCTGGGAAGCTTTTCAAAGCATCATTTTACCTCAAAAAACAGTGTTCTTTAGCATGGAAAAAGCGACTTGAGGACAAAATTACCACCCTCGTCAGCTTGTGCTGGGACTATCATCCCCCATGCTGAGCTGCCAGACAGCTGGACATTTTACTGCCCTCTCACTTCTACCCAGTCACCTCACTCAATTTCAGGTCTTTAGAGATGTAATAGTCCACAGCTTTGGAAAACTTCTACAAAGCGTCATGGAAAAGCAGATGTGAGCTTGTGAAGATGCTTGGCTCTATCTGGCAGATGTGGGAGCTGCCACCAGCCTCACACGAACATCCTCCTGTTATAAATGTCAATTGAAAGCCAAATTATCAAAAATGCGAAAAGATTTATTTATCTTTTTCCATGACCAAAATACAGTCCTCAAAACCACCACAGCCAAAGGGACAGTGTCAAGCCCAGGTTCAGCGCTGGGTGAACCTGGATCCGACCTCTATCACATCGGACCCCTCCGGACCCCTCCTCGTTCACAAGAGCCGCTTCTAGCGGGGATGTTTTATACAGTTTATTATGCCCGAGGCGAAGGAGTCCAAGTTTCTTTTGTAACTCTGCATATTCATAGTTGGTTCTTTCACTGTGCAGAGCTGGACAATCGCCGTTTCCGGCTTGATAGCCAGTGTTGATCCAATCCCCGGGAAATCGTGTATTCACATTTATCTTTCTGAGGACTTCACCTATCTTGATCGATTTTATCAACAGGGCGATGATTGCATTGCGTCTTCTGATGGCTGAAGACGGCGGTGATCATCGGTGATCATCGCGCTGGGTGCGTCTATTCATAAGCTAAATAAGCCGATCGTTATCAGCCTTCAGGAATTTCAGAGTTTGAATAGACGTCTGCCTCTCAGGCTGCTTGTGGTCAGACTCGCTTGGATTTCACAATCTTTATAAAATACATTATTTTATAGCATGAATTATTTCTAACATATATTACACTCCTATGGCTAAAGCCTCTGTCTTCAGGCTATGCTTCCACACAACCTTTTGGGTACATTTTTCGGTAAGTTTCTCAAAAGTCTGACTTTTATTTACTGTGCTCCAGTACAAAAGGGACAAAAGGGAGCTAGCCTATTATTTATATACCGGCCTTGAGACACAGGTGGTGAGCTGTGAGGCCACTCCTGGTCAGGATGCTGCAGGCAGGCAGAGGAGCAAAGGCCCTATTGCCTTCACATCATCCCCAGATGAATTTTAAATACCCAAACGTCTTGGGCTTCCTGCCACCATCACCTCTACACAGCCCAGAGCCTTGATTATATATGACCTCACCATTTCACAGATTGTTACATTTGTGGGGATGCTCAGACCAATGAGGTTAGAGGGCAACTGAGGCAGATTAAATACATTGTCGAATATTGTTAGAAACATATGGCTAAACATAAAGTGGTGCATGAGCTTCATATGTAAATCATATTTCTATCCCCTACACCACAGATCAACAACCAGTAGGGTAAGGAATACAGAGTGATGAGAGCACGCAGGGAGGGAAAGAGAATGTAGATTATTTGTGGAAAGCACGGTACTAATTAACTCCTTAATGAAGTAATCTCCAAGGCTATTCTTTATTCCTAGATATCCAATTCAAAATTGAAAAAGTTATTCTTAAAAAGAAAAAAAAGAGGCATAATAATAAGGCATAAAACATCAATAGAGAAATCAAGAAGTCAGTAGATTATTAATTAGTTTATCAAAAGTTTGCATCATGTTAATTTCATTTATATAAATACATTATGATATAATTGGGGGTCAGGGAATGTAGGATAATAGAATGAGTACTAGAAGCCATTAGTAAAGAAAGCCATGGAAACTGAGAGGTCTTACACAGCAGAAAAAAGAAAACTGCTGTGTAATATTCAGACAGGACTTTAGCCTCCCTGGTGTTACAAAAGGTGGGTGCTAATGTCTTCACAAACGCCTCTGTGGGCGGGGGTCTTTAGGAGAAATGGGTGTTAATATCTTCAAACTGGATTTTAATGTCTCTACTAACCTGAAGAGGTGCGAGTTTGTTACAGAACCCAGACAGTTTGACTCAGTTAACTTTAGGGTAATGGGAGAAATGGGTACACACAAGACTATTGCAGAACCCAGACAGGCTGAACTTGGGATTTTTTGCGGAAATTGACGATACATGTTCCAGGGGGAACATCTGGTAGGCAGTTGGGAAAAAGCTGTACCTTCCTAGTGCTTCTGCCACTGGGGAAAGAAAGAGGGCAACATGTGACCGGGAGTTTAGGATAAAAGGAGGGGTGCACTCCCAAAACCTTGTGAGAGACCCCACGGGGATATGCCCTATCAGACTCTCTCCTTTTCTAAGAATAAAGTTGCAGGACTCCTCTGTCTCTTTTATGAACACTGGCTTTTCATTGTGTGGCTGTTCCATACACTGGCACTCTAGTTTCCAGAGATTTATTCTCAGATATCCATTTGCCTCTTTTGGCCCATATGCCATAGTTTAACCCCAGCCAGCAGCTCAGCTGCACACAGCTGCTTGCACCTCCCCAACAGGACAGGAGAGATAATTAGAAGGGTAAATTAAGAAAACTCATGGGCCAACATAAATACAGTTTAACAGAGAAAGCAAAAGCCAGGCACACTTGAAAACAAAACAAGGAATAATTTGCTGCTTCCCATGGGCAGTCAGGTTTACCCATCCCTAAAAAAGCAGGGCTTGATCACATGTAACAGTGACTTGGAGAAAAAAATGCCATCTTTCCAAATGTTCCCCCCCTGCCTTCCTTCTTCTTCACCCAACTTTATAGGCTAAGTATGGTATGATATGATATATGATATGATATGATATGATATGATTGATATATGCCATACGTTGTGGAATATCCCTGGAGTCATTTGGCGTCAGCTGTTCTGGTTGTGTCCCCTCCCAGCTCCTTGTGCCTCCTCAGCCTGCTCGCTGGTGGGGTGAAGAGCAGAAAAGACCTTGACTCTGAATAAGCACTGAGCAGCAATAAGGAGAAAAATCTCTGTTTCATCAACAGGGCTTCCAGCATAAATCCAAAATAGCCCATATCAGCTACTGTGTCTATCCCAGTCAATCCCAGCAGACCTATAACAGGTGAAAATGGATCAAAAGGAACACAAAATGTGCATCAGTCAG